AGCTCTGATGGTGTGAATCATATGATGGACAAAGGCTCAGCCCGTTTTTATCCGAACCGAGGGAAGAGATCTAGTGGACTGCGTCAACCGGAGCGTCGTATGAAAGCCAAACGGGATTCATCCGTCCTTTTGTGGTGAGATCGACCTACGAATCTCTTCTTCATGCACTTTCATACGAAATAAAAGTCTCCCCAACAAAAATCAGCTTCTTATAGCCTCTAAACACAACTATAACGCTAGCTAAATATTTTTTTTTCGATTTTTCATCATCCCAAAATCTTTTCGCTTATATAGCATATTCTTATCAATATATGAATAAAAACTGGGTTTGGAAGAATTTTTTAATGATTTATTTTAACAAGACTTTTCATTTCGGAGTAAAAGTTGGTTGGAATGAACTCGCGAACTCGTCTCACTAGATACCGAAAGAGGAGAAGTGAAGGCTTTTTGATTGTGCGATGAAGATCTTGGCTCTCCATCCTTTGTTGACCTTGATGAACCTATTCTAGGCTTTCGTGCGCCATTTGACAGACATAATCAGAGGGAGAGACTATACTTTACAATACATCGATCAAGAGAAAACTAAACCTTTTCTCCTGTTGTTGCGCATGATTTCTTACCTTTAATATGTCTGCCACATGATAGACGAAAGCCTAGCACGGGTTCATTATGGTCAAAGGACGGTGAGCCAAGATCTTCTTCATACAATTCAACAAACATCACTTCTCTTTCGGTTTCTAGCTTGACGAATTCACGAGTTTCTTCTAATCAACTTTTACTTCGAAATGAAAAGTATTATCATATCAGTGTCGTAGGGCAGTGAGCTGATAACTTATTCACAAAATTCAACAGTCTTTACTCCAAGCCAATCTTTCAGCTTCCGTTGAGACCCATTCATGAATTCCTTTCAACCAACTTTTCTTTCGAAATTAAAAGTCATATTACAAGTTTCATCCAGACATCTTTCATCATTATTTCTTTGTTTATTTATTTTATTATTTCAATAGGACTATTTTACATATAGAAAATTTGGAGTCCACAAGACGTTAAGTTGTCACTAACATCGTATCAAAGATCAAGAAAGCAGAGCACAAGCTCGGGGAATGAGAGTTCTAAGAGCTAATATGTCAAATTAAAAATTCAATGTTTTTGCCGCAATTATGCAGCAAAAGCAAACAAATATATTAGCTTATTATGTAAGAACCTCAACATTAGTCTTAAACGCTATACAAGTGTATTCGCTATTTTTATTCAATAATTTTTAACTGTCTTCTCAGGGTCTTCTCAGCTCGAATGAAGTAGTTCCATACGCATACCTCTAGAACCGTGAGGTTTCTTTTTAGGCCTATAAAAAGGGATTGTTTAAAATTCCCTTATC